TATAAACTGACAGTTGACTTCTGACTTCAAACTAACATTACCCCACTGTATGACATATTCGACCCCTTCCGCAGTACTCATCTTACCTTTTTCTATCGTTGTGTCTGTCTGTCTCTGTTACATCTGTGAATCATTATTCTGCCCCCCCCCCTCGACTTTTAGACACTTTGATATTCCTCCTTCTTTCTGTGAAGCCCGAAGTCAGCTAAAGGCATAGTGATAACAATTAAAACGCCTGCCATTTGAAATAAATAAATCTTTGACTAAAAGTCACCAAAATACGTTAAATTTGAATTGACTTTATAATTAAAAAAGATTTTGGCAAATCCACTTCCACTCGTTCCCGAGACGTCACCAACCGTTCTCATCCAATTAAATTCGCGAAGTCTAAGGGGAAGACAATCTGTCATGCGCACGAGTGGTCAGGAAGACAAAACATTTTTTTGCTTCCATAAAAAGCTCAGAACCTGTCGCCGGACGCATAAAAACCGAGTCTCTGGGATCAAGTCTAAGAAACATTTTCCCTTTTTGGAACTTTTATTTGTTTCAATCTCTAATTTCCCCTAGCATAGTACTTAATTAAATTGATGGTAATACTATCTTTAAATGGAAAACAACAGCCAACATCTGCTGACATAATTGATCTTCGCGAATTAATATGTTCAATTATCAGTTGACCATAGGACAACCTAGCTCCTTTTTTGGCTTTCGCTCATGAAGAGCGCCTATCTTAATGCCCAACTTCTGATCACTTTTCAATGATCTCCACTTCATTACTCACCATTAGTTGCGATGGCTTTGTTAATTCTAAAATTAGCCAATATAGTGCCAGAAAATTAACCACATAGATAACTTAAGCACAATGGAAATTACTAAATGAGGTGATGAAAAGTTAGGATTGGTGGATTCACCATTCATAAATGTTCTAAGATCCTTTTGTTGTAGCTAATTTCATTTGCCGAAATCTGTTACTGTTTTTAAGCGTGTAGATAGACATTCAACAGTAGTCTTACCGTCTCTGTAGGAAATAGTTGCCATCGGGGCTCTAAAACGCAAGGAAAACGCAGAAGGGAGCTAAAATACCGCATAACTTTGGAAAATATCCCACAAAGTCCGCGCTTAATCGATAATAAATCAATCAAAGAGAGTTTTTGCCACTTACTGCACAGTATCTACTCTAGGTCTGCGATTAAATAATGGCTGTAAGGCGGGGATTCGATTGCGTAAAGCAAAGAGAATTAAAAATAGGAGAACAACAAAGAGGGGGATCAAGATGATGGCGGCAACGACTTTTCGGAGGTCAACTCCAGCTTCTATAGAGAAATGTGGAGGGATTGTTAAATTGACGAATCATTAATTAAGGTGGTGGGGGGGGGGAATAGATTGAACTGAGAATATATATATATATATATATATATATATATATATATGGATATTTCTTCTGGTTCTGCAATAACTTACTTGTGCTGATGTTTAGGAATAGAATCTCATCTCCAAAGAGCGTTTTGCCATCTGAAGTCTTTGTATATGATGTAACGGTTATAGTATACCTCGTAGATGGTTGAAGGTTTCTTATAACACAACTTTTTTCACTGGCATCTGCCTTACAGGTTTGTGGTTTGGACTGGGAATTTCCACTGAGTGAAAAAGCTGCAGCTTGATACCCGACGAAACCATGAGTTAATACAGGGGTCCATTGGACCTCCACACTTTCCCTTCCCACCGCCCCTGCGACTATCTGAATTGGAGCTAAATAGGAGAAGATTTTAAATAAGGAATAGTTGCAAATCTACCAGGTGGAGGTGTTTGAAAATCAATTGTATCCGATTCCATACTGCAGCCATATTCATCTTCCGAACAAACGACAGCCGTGGCGGAATATTGTGCATTCGGTGAAAGAGCCATTGCTGTGCACGTTGGCATGGAATTGATATCTGCATCAGTGGTAGTACATTTACCAATGGTCTCGTCTTTAGAACCACCACGGGGAAAAACGTAAACTGTGAGGTTTTTCAATTTGCCGGTTCCTGGAGGTATCTCTGACCAGTAGAAGATTGCTTTATGACTTCCTACTCTGCTGACTCGAAGGCCTTTGACAGCTATTTAAGGTAAAGGGCTTAATTGGAACATTTTTAACTTAACCAATAAATCAGATAAGAGGTCAACTTGAAACTTATTAAAATTATTCAAAATTACGTGGAAGAAGTTTAAACTAGCCTGGCTACCCGGTTTTGAGATGATACGCCAAATCATGGAACTAAATCCAACGCACAACAAATCGTGAATTTTGAAAGTAGGCTTATAAGCTGCCTGTAAGAGGATTCGGACTTTTAAATCATTCAATGATAAAGGTCAACTAAATGGCCAAAGTAACCCTTCGTGATTAGGCAATACCGTCAAATAAGCACTGGACATCATTGACAAGCACTCACAGCAACCAAATGGACAATTTATGTGAATTTAATAGGCCTACGGACGTAGATAATTTATTTTTCCATATCCTCATAAGAGTGAATTTTAATAGTTCTGAGCACAAATACCGATGACAAAGGACATGTGTTTAAGGTCTGAATTAGAAGGTTATATACTTCCACACCTACTAGAAGTATCACAAGGAGTAACAATTAAAAATTGTACAATGAGACGTTACTTATGGAGAAAAGTATTATTTGATCAATTAGAGGCATTGCTACAATAACTCGACTCTATACAATTAATTTGGAGTTTGGGGAACTTTTCAAGTGCTGGAGTATAGATTTATACAGGATTCCAAGAATTAAAGAGCAAATCTGTTTTCACCTTTTTAGCACCAGACTAAATCTAATTGGTGCTTGAATTTCAATTCAATTTCTGAGACAATCATAATAGCAAGGATACAGATGGCACTTTAAAGTATTTATAGTTTAATTCTTTTAAAAACAAGCTCACTTTGAATGCCACCCCTTTTTCAAATGCCTATAGCAAATACAACCACTTGGTTTGAACCAGATGATAATTCGATTGACGTTAGGGTGTGTATGACGTAGACATCTTAGTTGAGCCAAATCAAAGTAGGGTTGAGTGAACTACACTGATTGTAGTCAGTAGCTGTGAGCATTGGAATGTAAAATTAATTGCGCTTAAAATCATATGAAAAAATATATGCCTTGAGATGGCATAAATTAGAAATTAATAATTATATCCGTATTGGTAGAGTTGGTATTGAGAAAAGATCTGACAGCCTATATGTGTCACACTGAAATTATTTATTCACACGGAAAAGGTTCTATTGGAGATAAGTGTCAAGACAACTCATTGAAGTAAGTCAAGCAGGTAATAGGCTCCAAATGTCATGAATTTGAACTCCACCAGAACCATGGCAATAAAAACATAAATACGGAGATTTGAAAAGTGTAAATTGCTCAATGTGAATGATATTAGTCAACGCAATGCCCCCAAAACGTTTAATCATAGCTCAATCAATCTCTAGAAACCAAATTAAAATAATCCAACTTTTGGATCATTTTCAACCTCCTAGTGAGCAGTTTTCTTTAAATATGATTGTACCTTGCAAAAAACAATTGGGTAATGTCATGTATAACGGTTGCACTACTTTTAATTCTGGTAAGAAGTCCCATTTGAACAGTATCTGTCGGTGGAATTCATCAGTTGTGAGGAAGATTTCAAAGAGTTAAAGACTAACAGGTAAATAAGAATGGAACAAGTTATACATTCCAGTCGGGGGTGTGCGATGGACTTACCTCCACGTGGTGCACCCTGGGCAACGTATATTCATACGGCAAAAAAGTCTATTAACTGGCAGTTGACTTCTCACTTCAAATTACCCTCACCCAATTGTATGTCATATTCGACTACTAACACAGTACTCACCTCACCTTTTTCTACCTTCGTCTTTGAAGCACTCTTCTGTTCCCCCCC